CCCCCCCCCCCCCACGCATTGAATTTTAGTGTTTCAAAGTTAGATTCTTTAAGTTGCTTATCTTCATACTCTGGTCTTATGGTTCAGCTCTGCTATTCTTTTGCTCAAACAACTCAAGGATACGTTTGAAAATGATGAAATGGTACTGGAAGCCCTTTTTGACGGAGTGAGTTCTATTTTCTCTCCTAGTTCAATTTTATAAACTTACATAATACGTCAGGATACTGATATATTTAATTTAATGTCTAATTACTAAAAGGAAATGTCTTGCTAATGTCAACGGTGTGTCTATAGGTATTTTCTGCAATTGTAGCATCAGAGGCCACTCATTTACAGATTGGCCTGGACTTGCTTTGGGCAATCAAGGATGAACTGGGCCTTAGGCCCTCACGGCAGTGTCTTGATTTTCTTCTAAGTGCTTGTGCCAATGCTGGAGATTTGAACAATGCTCGCTTGATTTGGAGGGAGTACGAGATTGCTGGGTTTCCTTACAATGTATTAAGTTACTTGCGGTAAGTTGTTAGCCTTCTCTCCCTGACCGTGTTACAGTTTTTACACAGTTTTTATCTTTGCCTAATGGTTCTGGCTTTTAATTATTTCCATGGATGTAGAATGTATCAAACACTTTTGGCAGCTGGAGATGGCAGATCTGCATCCTTTATCCTTAAGAAAATTCCACGAGACGATGCGGAGGTTTGTGCTGTCATCATGGCATGTGCGGAAACATATAGTGCTCTTAATTCTGTAGGAGAGAAGAAAGAGCAAGGAAAACGTAAAGGAAGAAAGAGCAAAAGAAAGAGCAAAAGAAAGAGCAAGACCTGAACACACTTTCCAGTGACATTTGTAGGGTAGGTAGGGGAAAGAGAGATATGCCTAATTTTTTCTGTGGCTTTAGACATGTGCTTCACACCTGACATGATGTATCCATTTTATGCTTAATATATTTCCTACAATCGCTCTTCCACACTGTGCACCTTCTTTGTCATAGAAAGTACTTTTGATCATCATTCAAGATGCTGATTCCGTTTAAGATATGATTTCATCTTAGTAATTAAAAAAATATATATAGCTAAAAGTTAGGGATATTCTCCACTATTAGCCCGATTTCATTATATTATATTTTGAATGATTATAAATAAAAGATTTATATGTGTGATTAAACACATAATTCACAATGGTAAATGGTAGTTTTCGTTTCTCTCGTTGTAAAATCTCATTTAACTGTAGCATTTCATTTGCAGCTTCTAAACGTGTTTTTTGAACATGAAGTCTGGTACCTACCACTATTAATACATGATAAACTTCTTGAACTTGTTATACTTTACTTTTTTTAAGTAGTTCAATAAAATAAGCTTTATATTTATCTATATATTACAATTTATGTCACATCTTCAGAATCTGCATAATCTAATAAAAGCTTTTTTTAGAGTATGACAGATGATGTGATGTAATTCATTGACACAATTCTGATTTCCTTGGTTGGCCTACCGAACGTTTTTAAGATAATTTAGAGACGACTAACTATAATTGATACTGGATTTTGCAGTATTTGTTGCACTAATTCATTGACATCTTTCTGATTTGCGTGGTTGACGTACTACATGTTTTAGTGTAGTATTTTTTATTTTTATTTTTTTAAATTTCAGATGCAAATTATTTTTTTAAAAAAATATTTAACGATGTGTAAGATGTAATTATAATGAACTTTTGAAGAGGTTATAAAACAATAATAATGCAACTTCAATTTAAAAATAAATATGCAAGTAAATAAATACCATTAATTAATTTAATAAAAAATTCCAGTAAATATAAATGTATATGGATTGCAAAAAATCAAATATTCTGTTACGTGATTTGAGAATATTTTGGCAATGTTACGTTATTTTTTATATATATAATTTTAATATTTTTATTTGAATTACCCAGATGTTAACTTATAAATTATTGATTTATGAGTTAAAGATAATGATTATTATTCTAAGGTATTTTTTGTTCACATACAAAATGATTAATTGTTCTTATAATTAATATGAATAATAGTAAATAATATTATGTGATAGCTAGTTTGACTTATATATTCAAAGTATTAAGTAATTCTAATTTATGCATGTTTTAATTATTATAATATCCTTAACATGTAATGTATTTTTGTATTTTTCAAAAAGTGAACATAAGCATTGAATATTTATTTGCATCTGGATATGTACTTTATGTTTAATTTATGATTCAAAACATTAATGTATGTAATGTATAGCTTGTTAAGCTTATTTCAATCTTTAATGAGTTCAATTTTTTTAATTAGAGTGAACAAGTCCAACTTTCACTTAGGTTTGTTAGATCTTGATGACTTTTTAAGTTGAAAAGTTTGTTTTCATCACTAATGCTAGTAACCATGAAGAGAAAGCTCATTATAGATCTTGAGAAAGCACTACAGCGAAATAAGCCTTCCATGTCTCACATTTAATTTTAGAATAGAAAATAGTCAACTTTAAAAATGACCTATGATATTGTTTTAAATAAATTCTCTAAGTTAGATGATGAAAATCTCATTTTTTGACGTCATATGCTTAGTAGACGTCAGAAATCTCATTTTCCAACGTCAATTGACGTTGGAAATTTAGTTTTACAACATTGTATGGTTGCATGAATCATTTCAACTTGAATAGAAATTATATTGGGCTGTCAAAATAAGAATTAGACATTGAAAATCTCACTTTCCGACATCAATTGACATTGGAAATTTAGTTTCTAGACATTATATAGTTGAATGAATCATTTCAAC